GTCAGCGATTGTTTACACAAAACCAGACAGTTCTAAACCATCGCTTAATGGTTTAAATATTGACTTCTTAAATTATTATCTTTTAAAAACGACTTGAAATTAAAACAACTATATTACAATTATATTACAATCCAGTGAGTCAATGTAGAACAAGCGCATTTTTTAAAACGAGTAACATCGAATTGATTATATCATCAGAAAAAGCTGTTCTTCATGCTTGATGTTAAAGCGAACAACTAAATGTCGCAATGAATCTCATACTACAATAATTTTCTTTTCATAAATAATCAACTTCGTTAACAAATCAAAAAAATCTTTCTTTTTTCTTGTTTCATCTGCATCGATATATCGAATAACTCACTTGAATAATTTTTCTAACCTTAAAATATATTTTATCGTGTGTAAGACGTATTAATCAACAGAATCTTCGAATAGAATTATACCAGCAAAAAAATATATCCTTTTCCATATTTTCAAGTGTAAAACGGACACAAAAACAAAAGCAACATAAAAAGATATATGGGCACTTTATAATTAATTATGGATTATATCTTTCTGTTGATATCTGTGACCCTATTCAATGACTACAATAAGTTAATGCTTCTCCTTTTATATACCAATTTCAACAATGTAATTTTAATAATATTAATAATAATAATTATTATTATTATTTGTAAAATCTGTTTCTATTATCTAGGTTATACAGATGGTAAAATTTGTTTATATAAAACAAATTACTTTCAACCTATACTTGAATGGGATGTTACGTCATCAGTGCCAATAACAAATTTATCCAAAATAAAACTAACTAAAAATAAAGATGACACAGTTGCATCAATTTCAGAATCAATATCAAAGATTTCAGTTAATCATTCATTTATTAGTATTCGTAAACTTATTTGGTCAGCTACTCGTTCTTCAGTATTTTTCAGTTTGGATTCAAATAATCAAATTATTTTATGGGATATTGTAAACATATTCAACCTGATTAATAATTCTTTACTTTTAATTGATACAGAATCTAACTTGAAGAATGATTATCCGATAAACATGAACATGAATGATAAAAAAATACTGTCTTGTCAAATTAATGATATTTGTATAAGTAAACTGCCATGTTCGAGACATATTAACCGAATTTCATCATCCTCAGTAGCACCGATTTTGACTCATTCATCACCTTTATTCATTTTATTCTATCCGCATAAAATTAGCATACATTGGATTAATTCCCGTTGGATAAATGAATCAGTGAACGAAAATACTTTATTAATGAAAACCCTCGATAGTTTCAGTAGTATCAGTTAGCCTAAAATTTGATAATTCATACCTATGATTGTAATTTTTATTGATTGGCTACTCGATTTTGAGTATTTCTTTATTTTTCTTTACTGTTCATTCTATTGAAATGAACTAAGCAGATGTACATAATACTAAATGTAGATGAATGAACCATTATTATTATTGTTTCTTTGAATACGGATCTATGGTTATGTATGAAAACACTTTTCTGTTCGATATTCTCACAGTCCAAAAAATTTACATTACAAGACCATATACTAGTGTTAAAAAATGACTGTATGAACCATATTTTTTAAACAATTTTAATCAATCCTTCATTGTTCATGAGAAAAAAATAAACAATATATATTTCTTCGTTTTTAGCTAAGAATACTTAATCGTCGAATACATTTGAAATAAGTTGGACAAAAGTTAGAAGCGGCAGTGGCCGGTGTTTTTCATTGAAAGGAATATCAAAAACGTACATCAGTTTTGTATGGGCTTTCTAACCAAACACTATCGATCGAGTAAGCACTTGTGGAGAACTTTCATCGGTTTTCTTCAAACTTGAAACTATGTTCGTCCAAGTTATCCACTGTCCCTTTATCTATTCAATTTCCTTATGAATCTCCTCCTAAAATTCAATCTTCCTTTACTTAATTATTCAGTGGTCCATCTCCTATTAGATAATCTACTCCCCGACTTGAAATATGTGGATGATATAGTTCTGCTTGGTTGAGACTTCGATACAATATTGAGTCCTCTGATAATCTTGAGAGACAAGGTAAACACGTTTCTTACGCACATACTTCTCCATCTAAATGCAAATGTTTATTCAGGGACTGGTTGGAATCAAGGTCTGGACAGAGAGATGGAGTTAAGCACGTCGATCATTTCACTTATCTTCGATGTTTCATCCGTCTTGATGGGTCAGAGTTTGATGAAATCTCAATACGGAATCATCAAACTGGACTGTAGATCGCCAACTTACGTCACTTATGGCATAGAAATATATATGTTTCAAGCAAAGAGTGAGTATAGCGCCCAGCGGTGCACTATGTATTATTGCATGGCTGTGAAACATGGTTTACGAAAGTACACAACAAGTGTAAAATGCGTGTTGCTAGTCACAGATATCTCAGAATCATTGACCACGTGAATAAGTAATGTTTAGGTTAGGTGTAGGATCGGTGGCAAAAGTGGCCAGTCAGTTGATGAAGTTATGAACCTTAATTAACTGAAGTGGCTGGGACAGGTGTGACGTATATTTAATCATCACCTGATTGAACGTGTGCTGCTTGCTATTGTAGAAATAGGTTGGAGGGAAGCAAGGAGTTGTCAAACCAAAATGTGTCACCATTGCATGAAGTCATTGAATGTTGTTTGTCTGGAGTCATGCCGGTGGATGCAGACTACATGATTGGTATTGGCTTGATGACCGTGATCAGTGGTTATGGAGTTCGGATGAAGTTGTTGCGAATCAGTTAAAATGACGCGAATGAATTCACTCATAATCTTGGATTCTAGTATTTCTTCATACATACCTTTTCATCCTTTCTTTTCATACCATATTCTCAATGTCAAGTATCTTTTATAGTCATTGAAATGACTATCTGTCCAGGTTAATTTTAAGTTTTGAGACATCTTTTTTTTTTTAGAAAAAATGTATTAACAATTATGCTTAAAATTTATGCAGTAAAAGACGTTTTTTGAATGTTACTTGGATCTACTTTTTTTGTCGGAACTATTTTAAAATGACATCAAAATTATTCATCATTTCTAACACTTCATACTATGTCTAGAAAGCAGCAAATCAGTTTGCATTTTATCCATAACAGTATTTTTAAGAAATGTCAAAATATTATGAAAATATTTACAACCTTTGTCGCATTGTAATTTAACTAATTACAAATAAGTCATTTTACAATCTATAAGAAACAAAAGTTCAATTAAACCTGATAGACTACTAACACTAATACACTTTGTTTAGGTCGATGTTGAGGTGAATTATCGAATAACTATGTTTTTAATGTTTTAGGTATTTCATCTACAAAGAATTGATAAAAGGTGAACTTGATATTGTTTCTAGGTTTTTGAATCTTTTTACTAATTTAAGTTTCACTATACCATTTGGTGATACATGAAGGAGACCGTTAGCTTATATCTCTTATACATATGAACGAAATAGTAACTGCACAAAAATCTTTAACTGTTAACAACAACTCATAATTTAAATGAGTGTATATTTAAATACCTTTTAAAATGGATGTGGTGATCATTAATTAAATATATACCGCTAGGTTTAAACCATACCCTTTTAACAAACAGCTGTTATTATTGTTTTTTGCTTTTTTACTTCGTTTGCATTAAATAAAATGAACAAGATCGCGAATACATTCGGATGATAGGTGGTTAGAGGTAATCGACAAGAAACCGTGGACCGAGGTTTCATGCTACTTGGGGTTCCTCAGCAAAATGTACCTGTAATCTTGAGGGAATCGATCTTCTCTAGTGCATTAGATTTCATGTCGTCCAGTTGCGTAGCTAGATCATTAGAATTTGGTCACCAATAAAAATGACTACCTACATAACACTGATCACTACTGAGTGATAGGTCAATTGTGCACATACTTCCATTTATTGAACTGGAACTGAAAGTGTTATAGGAATCCGTAGTTTGGAAAGTTTTTACATAAATAACTAAAAATATTATTGAGATCACGAACCAAGTTAGAAGAACAATTAAAATCAGGAAGCAATTGATAGATGTTTCGTCCACAAACCCGTATACTGATAGTTCCAAAAAAATACTAGTCAGCTCATATGTTATGTGGATACTTGCAGTCTTAAATATTGCATTTCCACTAGTTTGTCTTTTAATTATACATCTAGAATGTAAACACGAGGATCACTGTATACCGTTAATCGAGAAACTTAGTCGAATATCCATCGCTCAGTATTTTACCATTATTATGAGGGTTTATTATTTCCTGAACTATACCATACCGTGAGGAGTGTTTAGGGTAATGTTTAACAAAACATTTGATACTAGATAGGTTCTTAATTAGAAATATCCAATAACTTATTCACAATTTAATCGAAGATTCTCATATTTCACAGCTAAACGATACTATTCACTCACTTTTTTCAAATCTAATGGGCCATATTTTTTACTTTAGCCAATTAGTGGTACATCTGGATCCTTATTCACTTTGTTGTTGAGTTACTTGACCATTCCTGAATTCGCCAATTTTACACGTCTTAACTTCTTATAAGAATAATGGACTTTATGATTGATCAATACACTTGAAGGTCCTTGACTCAGTTTTTATGGGGGTTATAAGTGGGAACCTCTAAAAAACCTTAAAATAGAACGCAACAACCAGTAAAGGTTCAGAGAACTTTGGGAGTTTTCAAATTCATATCACTTCCTAAGTAAATTTGCATTTAGTGTTTTGTTGAATAACATTTTTCGTTTGAATATAAAAACCAGTTTGGATGAAATTGTAGTCCACTTTGTTAACTGTGATATTTTTGGATTCAATTAACAGAAATATTAATTTTTAATATATTTACATGGTGTCTTTGTTAATGTTTTGTAAATGAATGATAATATATAATTGTATGGATTATTCTTCTAGATTCATTTTTTCACCTTTGAAATTTTAGCCAAGGAACTAAATTGATCTCAAATGAAATTGTAAAACAAACAAACAATTCAGATAAAATGTTATATTTTGACTTTCATTACTTCATGAAATATACGTTTGCACATACGCATACAACAGAAAAATAAAGAAACATACTTGGAAATAAAAGATGAATATTCTTTTTTTTTTTACCTAACAGCCTGATGACTTTATAACATTAAGGTTATCTTTATCTTATTTGTTATATCTAATGTATTTGCATGATTTTTTTTCCAGTGAACTTTATAACACACACACACATACACATTACATTTTAGATAAAAGGACAGAAGAGAATTGGATAAAAAAAAGGAAGAAATCGTGTCAGTTTGTCAGAGAGAAAAGCAAAAATAAACTAAAAAAGAACCAAACATAATAATAACAGTGATAATTAATATGTACATTAAATTTATGCGTATACGTGTGCACTTGCGTAATATAATCGATTATTGTGTTAAAAAAATGAAGAACAAAAAACTGGTAGAAAATTTATCATCCTCATTCTAGATTTTTATTCTCAGAATTTTTTTCTTCGTTACACTAGAAATATACTAGAATGAAAAGGTGGAAAGAAAAGAAGAGAACAACTAATAAAAGACAGTTTACGCTGAACACTGGGTTTACATAAAGATTAGTGCAGAAAAAAAAACAATATCAAAGCAGATTGGAATACATTTAGTCAAGAAATGCATCCATCCCCATCTTCTGTGTTAGAATAAAACACCGTTTTTTATACATACATAAATATACATAAATATCTAATCATTGTCACATAAATAAGCACAAAACAGGCATACCACGAAGAGGAATAATAATAAAAATATACATGCAAGTAATTGAATATTCAAGATTAATAATATTGTTTTTATTAAAAACAAATACAAAGAGTAATAAGAGTACTCATATAAATCAGCCGATACATACATAGTATAGCTTTTAATTATTTGAAAACAAGAGTTTATTATTATTGAGTTTTGCAAAGTGAAACTGTTTATTAACTATATTGGCAGCGTTTTACAAATACTGATTGAATAATAGAAAGGGCAAGGATAGGAATAATTGATATGTTAATATTATTGTTAATGTGTCATGGTGTACAATTATTATTCGATAACCAGAGATCTATTTACTTCAAAAGACGTTTGAAACTTTAGGAAAGACAATACACAAATGGATAATAGTAATAATTATTCTGTTTTGCAAGAAAAAAAAACTATTGACATCATTATTGTCATCACATCAGAGTAAAATACATAATTATTGTGAATCACTTTGTATTTCGTGTGCAGGCATAAAGTCAAACAATAATTCAAGAAATAATCACCAAGGTAGCTGGAAAATACTGATAACAACAAGATCGTATACTTATTTATACCACATAAATCATTGCATAATTATTCCGATGTATCGAAAGTGTATACTTTAGTCGAACATTGAATGTAATAATCGTGTAATTGATAACCATTATAAACACTGTCAGTAACAATCCTGGCAAACACCAATTTTACATGACTAAATATTTTTCATTAATTATTAGGAAATCTGTCTTACATTTTAAAACATATATAGATAAATTGAAGGTGAAACAAAATAAAGAAACAAAAGATTATCATTAGGAATCCAGACAAAAAATATTTATACTTGTTGCACAAGTTAGCGGATAAATTATTATTATTTTTTTCGAAATACATTAGTCTAAGCACAAAAAGAGTAAAACATTAGTGTTTATGTATATTGAATTATACACCAAGTAAAATAATGTAGAGAGGAGCTAAAAGGCATTTTTTTAAATACAAACTTTGTTTATGTTTGACATTCACTTGACAAACCACGATTATTGGTTTCAAAGTAAGTTTGAATCGATAACTGGAAGAAATCGCCTACAAATTTGTGCTGAAATCTAGATCAGTGAATATTAATACAAGATATAGAGAAAATATTCAAAGTAACATTCAATAAAATGTATACAACATGTTCTATCTCGATCTTCTGATTCACACACTTATGTGTGTATCGAATCATACACACATTTAAATCTAAAGTAAAACTCATTCGCTCAGCATCACCGGATCGATCGAAGACAAGAAAAGACAGTACAATGTCTGTACAAAACAACTGCACACGAAGCTAAGTCGGTAAAACAAACTCATTGCTCATGAATAGAAAAACTTAGTTTATATATGACACAAAGTGCCCAAAACAGGCAAGAATAATTTCATAATATGTAAGGGAAAAGCTAACGTTGAGATATTTTTATAGAATTCACATGGTTTAGATAGTTAAAGAAGTCCCTAGGAAAAGACTATACTTACGTAGTAAAGACTTTCTGGTAAATAAAGTAATAATACCGTCGACAATAATTCAACATATTTTTAAATATCTACAATTCTTCTTCACCATTTATTCACTGAAATAAAATTTGAATAATAAAATGAACCAGTAATTTACACGTTTCCGATTTTCTGTTTTATCACTGTTTAGTACATTGAAGTTAGCCATAACGTGCAAATCGATATATGTGATGTTGTGCCCTACAACCCTCTTGTGCAACTTCCAATACATATGCAATACACAATAATACTTCATTTGTTAATTTATTTGTCAGGACCTAAAATAGATTTTGTTTTTGAAAAGAAAAGAAAAAACAAGTATAATTAAATATGTTATGATAACTTGAATATAATGATTAAAAATTTTTTATAACCAATGAATTTAAAATCATTATATGATGTTACTAACCTTATAATACGCTATACTAATAATACCATGATTATTTATATTAACTAATGCAGTTGTAAAAATAATTACCACTTTCATTACACTTGTTTATTGAGATGATAATCTTCAGATAAATTGATAATGGCATTTTTCATTCGAATAAAATCTCATTTGGTTTTTGTTCTGCTGAAAACATTGTCTTGTTGTTTAGACTTTAACATTGACCGAATTCTACACAGATTTACAATGAATTTTTTTTCTTACCGCAAAGAATTAAGTCACTTTCAAACATAGAATTCAGCTTACCACATCATTTGGAAATAGTTTAGTTTTACTATTACGTTCACCATTAATGTGTCTGAAATCCCCCCTCCAAAAAATTAGATGTATTTCCTCAGGCAAAATAAGTTTTGACGAATAAGGAACATCAGTCTGGAATAGTTATTTTTAGAAATAAATTGTCCTCTTTCATCAGGATAACATAAAAGTAGCATAATTGAAATACTTCAAAGATTTAAAACATTGTGAATATCGGTACCTGACATGTAAATAAAGTTTTAAGAAAACGAGCTGTTTTATGAACAGATTAGCGGTACCATAATTTAAAACATTTTGAAATCAGATCATCTTATAATTATGTTTCTTGAAAAAGTTATTTTCTAACTAAAAATATTAAGTTATGAAAATTGGTAAATGCTAATTTCTGTGTACATGAACCAACACAATCATCTTTTACAAGAGAAGTTCGTCATTATCTTTTTTCAGAGAACAGTCTACTGCAATGTAAATCACAAATAGAAATCAACTGTAGAGCTATTACTACAATTAAACTTTTTCAAAATAAATAAAGTTACGATTTCCCACTTTGTTTAACTCAGAAAATCTTTGGAGAATCAAAAAGATTTATATTATGACACAATACTTCAGTTAGTTAATGAAATGATGAATTATCTTATTATGCATTAAAAATATGTTCCAGATTAATTCGATTTTATCACACTGGTAGATAAATATACTTTTTCATCATAATTATATAAACTAGGATTCTTTTATCAGAGGGTGTCTACAAACAGTCATCCAGTTCGTAAAATATGCTCCATGTAAAGAAAACAGTTAACCGTACATGAATTGTATGTCAGTAAAATTTCTCACAAAATAATAAACCACATGAAACAATAAACATTCAGTCAACTGTGAATCATTTAAATGTAATTTTTCACTGGTCCACGTTGATATATCCTACATCAGTACAGTGATAAAGCAAATGAAGAGGTAGAAGAGTAAAAAAGTTGACATAACACTACTAAATGTAGTTAAAACTAAATATTAAGAACATAGTTACACCTGAACGAATGAGCCTGAAAAGCAAATAATACTCAACTCATTTATTTGATGATCCAACCATTGAACAATAATTGTTTCGAAGAAACGTATTACTTACTTTCAAATATCATTCCTAGTGAATCTTCATTTGTAAAAGCTCAGAAACGTCGTTTGTATATTTACTTTAAATAAGCCATTAGTTGAGATTTTGAGATGATAGTAAACGAGTGGTAAAACGATAAACTAATCGTTGATCGAATCTCATTTTAACAGATCACTGGATCTCCAGTTTAAAATCTGGTAGAATGAGTCGGATGTGATCGAAATTCCAAACCTTCTAAACAGGCTCACAAACTAGAGATATATTAATTATTATTGGTATTATTATCGTCCTATCATATTTATAGCTTTGCTAATACTGACAAGAATACTACTGGTTCGAAAGACAGTGATGGAATGTTTGGTATTATTACCAAAATTTGACTTGATAACTTAAAATAAATTGGGTACTGGAGAAATTATTGATAAGGAAAGTAATATGTTTGTAATATCTCAATGAGCAGCGAAACTAAATTTCCTGATATTTCCTGACTCATGGTAAGCCACTTCTTCAAAAAATAAAAACGTATACAAATTAAATTACCTCAATTCTAAATAAAACAAAGAAATTGAATTTCTATTTACTGAGAAACCCACTTAGCACTCTAGAAATTGGCCCAATTGTAGATTAACTAATCGAAAAACTTCCAGAAAATAAGTTTCATCAACCGAATCAAGAAACATTACATATTTTTACAAAACGAAATTCTTCCTACTTAAAGTTTCACAAGAAGAATCAAGAGCCCTTTATCCACTATAAAAATCATTATTAGTGCTAAAGCTGAAAAAAGTAATACAACTGTAGTCATGAATAAAAGGATTATAGTGGAAGAGCTTTGAACACCTGTTCATAGGATCTCAACAAAAGGTTGACATTAAAAGTTATCACATTTTCAGTAATTTATTTCAACTGGAGATAAACTAACCTTCGAAAAATAAACTCAAGCTTTCTATTGGTGTCTCCTTATGGTTTACTTGATGTCCCATATCATGCACTATATCACGATTTTATGGTCTACCCAAAATGTATAAGCTAGATATCCCACTAAGATCTATAGAAAACTTTACAAACAGTCCTTCATATGCATTATGTAAATATTTAAACAGCGAATCGAGGCCACTTCAACACAAGTTACATAATGTAATCAGAGATTCTTATGAATTTAAGTGTGAAACATAGGAATTAATTATATAAAAGAATGAAACTGTGATAAGCTATGGTATTTGGTATAAATGTACCAGTATTTTAATTGATAAATGCCTATAATTTATTGGTAGTTTAGTAAAGAATGATCATATTTTTTCTGACAGATGTCCTTCAGGCATTATTTTAGTCGTAAAATCCCTAAAACTGCCAAAACTCAATCTCGTTTACCTTTAATCGGACACCATTTGAACAAACTAAGGGAGTGACAATGAGATCCTTAGTGTTCTTAACTGTAGCTAAACTACTCGCGTTTCATATAGAATCAAGTATTTTCACCAATGATATTGAATAAAAAATTTGCAGTAGATATGTGGAAGATACTTTTGTCATCACAAGAAAGACGTTCCTATGATCTTTTGTAAGCTGATTAATACACTCTCATCCTCACTAAATCCACTTATGAGAATGAGCACTGTGAGCTGTCATTTCTAGATTACCTGGATAAAAGAAATCTCAGATTCTAAACCTAACCATCTATCGTAAATCAACAGACTCCAATCGTCATACTGATTTCAGATCAGCATATCCAATCAGTGTAAAAACTCTTAACTCAAAACTTTCTGGAAGAAGGACCAATATTCATACAAATGAAGAGGACATCCAAGAGAAACAGAAGGAAATAATGAACATCTTACAGTTTAATAATTTTTTTATGATTATTATTAACAATTTGCTAAAATGAGACGATTTATCATTAAGTAGTAGCTCGAAGGAAATACCATCGATTGGTACCATGGTTCTAACCTACCCCCATGATACAGCAAACGAGCTCTGAACGATCTTAAAACGATTCAGAATTAAAGCATACTACAAAGCAACCAATACTTTTCAAAATGTTTTAGTTCGCATAGACGATGAGATCCTATTAATGTTAATACAGAACTGTGTTTACAGATTACGGTCTATTGATTTTGATGCCTTTCATATTGAAGGTTCATCTAGTGAAATCTTGACTTCAGCCATTGAACATATAAGCTACATTAAAAACCACCTAATAATTTTTTTAGAACTTAAAAATATCCAAAGTAAATCAAAAATAGCAGTGCATGTCATCTTCAATAACCATCAAGTTGTTATTAAAAATATCAAAACAATACAAAAAGGCTTCTTCTACTACAAAGAAAGGCGAGTAGCTGAATCTTTCTATATATTACTAAATCTTGCCATCCATTTAAGTTGGTTGATTTATTCTAGCTACATATCATAATGTTAGTGCACATGCAAATTCAACTCAACCATTCACATTACAAATGTTAAATTTTTCACACCCATTAACATTAACACACATATACAATCATGTCACATAAAAATCTCATTGACTAAAGTGATTTGATGTTGACTCGGTAGAACCTATTTTCGATTAATTGTACTAAATATTTTTGTGTCATTTTTTCTGCATAATTGAAACCTGGATTTATATACTTAGTTTATTTATTTATTTTTTGAAGAAGTAGGTTACACTGAGTCACAAAACGATTGAAAATTTAATTTCCCCTAGTCAATGGAACATTACAAATTTATTCATTTTATTATTAATATTGGAGTTAGTTTAAAAGAAACATTCATTACACCGATATTCATTGATACATTTGTCCAAACAATACAAAAGTAATTTTAATTCACATAAAATAATAACGAATGAAAATGCTTTCGATTTATTGAAAAATGACACCTAATATTACATGATAATTCGGAAGATAATTATCAGCCTAATAAATGTAAACTAGATTAGAAGTATAGTGTACTTGTTTATAGTTCTTATCCTAAAGACGAATAGTAGTTGCCTCAGTAATTACTGTGAGTGCAGAGACATAACTGTATACTTGAACATGTTAGTATTAAAAAAAACGAAGTTATGACGAGTGAAGTGTACAGAAACAACAAAAGCTAAATATTTTAGGGACATATGTATATATTGTTAAGCGTATCAAATCTATACATAAATATTAACTCGTATAATAGAATAGACGTCGGTTTATAAACAATTGAGATTAGTATTTCGATACGAAATCATCATTAGGGTTTGGAAAGTAATTCTACAAGCAAAGGTAATGACAACTGTTTATAGTTTGTAGACCAAAGCATTCCTGCTATGAAATTAAATCAATGCATAAAATTCATATTCCATAATGTTGAGTATTTTATATTTTACTTTTAAATGACAAATTGCAACCAGATTGAATAACTTTTATGGTATATGATTAAAACACAGAATTAGTTTATTGTTAAAGTATTAGTTCCGTGAGGACATATGAACTAGT